CCCGCCCCACAGCGCCTCCCCGCCGGGCCCTCACCTGGCCTCTTCTTTTCCAGCAACAAACCCCTGATGATCATCCACCACTTGGAGGACTGCCCGCACAGCCAAGGTAATAATCCCTTCCCACTGAAAAAATAGATCATCCGGGTTTCAGTTTCTGAATAAACGCTGCTTAAAAAAAAAAAGAAAAAAGAAAAAAGAATCAGCCCCCATTCTGCGTGCTGAGTAAGCGCTAGCAAAACGCTGCCTTGCACCAGCGTGGGCAGCGTTCTTCAAGTCGCTGTCCCACAGACGTGCTTCCCAATTGCAGAAATAAAATGAAAATGGTAATTTAGTGTTGTGTGATACAGAATGGATACAGAAACAAGCACAAGTCAGCAGGTTTTGACCTGGGACATATCTGGTTTTGGTTGGTGTCAAAATCAGCCAAAACAAATAGCAAGATGAGGGGGAGTGACAAACAATGATTTATTGGGAAGGATGTGTTCAGCTCTCAGTATCGCCACCACTGAGACTGAATATGGCCAGGGACTAAATCAAATCAAACCAGGCTATGGCCAGGGACTAACCAGGCCGAGACAAAGCTCTTGCAGGAATTCTGGTGTTTCTGAACCTACCCGAGGCCAAATCCACACAGCAAGGCCTTCGCGTCCAGCTGTAGCTCCAGTAACTCCAGAAAGATCTTTGTACAAGCACTAAAATTCTTTCAAACAAACTGAAGTCCTACACACTGTGTTGTCAGTGCCTTCAGAGACAGAGCCAGAAGCTATGACAGTAGAAGAGCAGGTTTGAAGGGTCAAGTGCTCAAGTTCAAATTTAAGCAGACACATCCAAGAGTGAGCTGCACTATCTGAGGGAAGGAGGAACATTTTGTGCAATTATAATTACTCTTTACTGCAGAATATAAATTAATTTATCATCTTCCAGGGGAATGGACTTAAAATCTTCATTTGGTGTAACTGTAAACTAGGAATTCTCATTTTTACTCTGTTTCAATTTCTTTTTCAAGAACAGTATGTTTCAGGGGTGTATTTTTAACTTTCATTCTCATTTGTTTCCACTCTAGCTCTCAAGAAGGTCTTTGCTGAACATAAAGATATACAGAAATTGGCTGAAAAATTCATTCTCCTGAACCTTGTGGTAAATTGCTCCGTTAAACACCATTAAGTGAAAGCAATAAATTTATATTTTTAATTATGGCTTCTCTAGTTATAGTCAGTTTAATAGCTAGGGTTGACTAGGAAAATTGCCTTTGCTGAAGCATAATAGATTTAGTAATAAGTCTCTTTCATCTGTAGCTATTATAAATTCAAAATATGTGGGAATCTAGAATCTAATAATACCGTGAACTGTTATTATCAATTTGCAATTCCAGCTGTTGAAAGATTGCATCCCAGACAGGGAACCTCTTAACCTGCAAAATGTATTATTTGAGCCCTACTTCATAACATAAAGTACAATGAAGAAAAAAAAAATATTTCTGTAACATGCCCTCCTTGACTGGGAACCTTCTCTGTTTTCTTTAAGTATGAAACCACAGACAAGAATCTTGCACCTGATGGCCAGTATGTCCCTCGGATTTTGTTCATAGGTGAGTACACCTCAAGCACCAAAGCTGATCTCAGACCGAAGCCCCTGCTGTAACATGCATCTCACATCCTCGGGCTTATTAACAGCAATTTATGCCATGAGGAATACAAGATTTCCGGTTGGTTTTCTTGGATCAAGTTGCAAAGCATCTCCAGCTGGGTCATTAGCTCCACAGGTCCAGCATTTCTTCCTCATGGAATCTATGAATGTTGTATTTCCTTCCATCATGTCAGCAAAATGACATGATGCCACAGTCACCGAAATGGGTAGGCACTGGCTCAGCCCTGCTCATCCCTATTTCTCCTTAGAGTAGAAATCCTGTAAAACTGACAGGTTTCAGTTTGTTACACAATCTCAGACAATGCAGGAGCAGCAGTAACCCCAGATGCTCCAGAGGCCAATTTCTGAAGCTCAGTACTCAGTTCTGTGTTCCCCCAACCTGCACAAACCCTCTAAAGCATTTGTATTTTGGAGACATCTTAGTGGCCATGCACACACCCAGCAGTTCCCTCACCCAGAATAGATATGTAGCCTCACATATCATACACAGGCATCATTTACAAATACCTTTATAAAGCTAGGTCACGACAATTTTCAACAGACCAAAGCAACTGCCATATCCTTTATTATTTCTTTTCTAATAACATTTGTAGCCTGAAAGCAGCCTCAGCTTCTAGAATTAACTCAGGTACTACGCAGTGGCACAGGGTACAAAGCCGACCACCATTGACCAGAATTAAACCTGTCCCCTTCTTAATAAACCTACTTAAAACTGAAAGTCAGTGACTGTTTAGTCTTGGTTGTTCATGGAAGCAGATGTGTCTTGCAGAAACATTTGGAAGCAAGCAGCAGAAGTGCAAAGGTTTACTTCATTCTGCTTGAAGGTTAATCCTGTCCTCTACAGCTCCTCCCATTCTTGTTTTCCAGATCCTTCCCTGACTGTGAGAGCAGATATTACTGGAAGATACTCGAACCGTCTCTATGCCTATGAGCCCTCTGACATTTCATTGTGTAAGTAGGGTATGCAAATGGTCTGAAAGCAGTCGCATGTCTCATATGACATGGAGGAACATCAGGTATTAGACTCTTGTAATCAGGACTTGCTTAAAGATAGTTAACTAGGATTAAACTTGAACAGGGTGCTAGACTTAAACTAAGTGAGGTGAAGAGAATGATGGCAGAGCCCTGGAGCCTTAAACATCCATGTTTCAAAAGAGCATACAACAGTAGGAACTTGCATAATTCAGCAGCATTCCCTGTAAGCGACGGTGAAAATTCCTGCACACAAGCCCTGCTGGGCCAGGTCAGGAAACCACCTGGGAGCCACAGGGAGGAGCCGTTTGCTGCAGCCTTGCCCCCGTGCAGCACAGCTCCCATCTCTGCCCTGCCAAAACTGATGCATTTACCTTGACGGATGGATGCTGTCACCAGTCAAAACTAAACAGGTGACATTCACAAAGTGCTTGGAAGAACACAGTGCATCAGAATCCATATAGCAATAGGCATGTGAGCAAAAGCTTTGATAATATTTTCTCTACAGTATTTCTAGCTGCTGGCAGACAAAGTTGTAACAAAAATAACGTGTATTAATATTTCATTTCTAGTGTATTCAAATATGCAGAAAGCACTGAAGCTCCTGAAGACTGAACTGTAAGGGGAAGAAGGAAGCCCTTAAACACTATGAATTCTGATCTTCATCTCCTCTCCATTCACTGAAACTGGTGAAGAGACCATGTAAAGTGATACTTAGTGATGTGTAGTGCTGGTTTATATACATGAACACTACAGTTTTACATTAGCACTTTTGTACTGGGTAGCATTTTTCAAAGCTGGAAGCTTTTAGTTTAAGGCATACAGAGGGTACTGTATGATCCAACTGTAAAAATGATTTTTTTAAAAAAATAAATCCATTTCAAGTGTTTACATACAAGATCTTGTTGCATGTGGGTTTTTGTTGTTGTTTTGGGTTGCTTTGTTTTTCTTATCTATCATCATTAGAAATAATAAAATCACTGCGTTTCTTGTGACCACAGCTTGCAATTTTACATCTAAGCACTTTGGAAGGAAAAAGGCTCTTGAGGGTGAACCCTGGTCAGCAGCTCAGCCCCACAGAGCTGCTCACGCACTCTGTTCCAGAGGGATGAGAGAGAGAATCGGAAAGGTAAGAGTGAGAAAACTCATGGTTTAAGAAAAAGAGTTTAATAGGTAGAGCACAAGCCACACACACAAGCAAAAAAAACCAAAGAATTGATTCACTACTCCCCCTGGGCAGGCAAGTGTCTGGCCATCCCCAGGAGAGCAGGGCTCTCATCATGTGTAATGGGGACTTGGGAAGACAAACACTGTAACTCTGAATGTCCTCCCCTTCCTCCTCCTTCCCCCAGCTTTTATTGTCATATGGCAGGGAATATGCCTTTGGTCAGCTGGGTTGGCTATCCTAGCTGGGTCCTCTCCCAGCTTCTCCAGCACTCCCAGCCTGCTCACTGCTGGCATCATGTAAGAAGTAGAAAAGGCCCTGATTCTGTGTGTCAGCAATAACAACCATCCCTGTGTTACCAACACCATTTTCATCACAAACCCAAAGCATAGCACCCTGCAAACTACTACGAAGAAAATGACCCAGCCAAACCCATTACAGAAAAAGCACCTTTTCATCTCTGGTTTGAGGAGCTACCTAAGCCTGTCTTACCTCCATTTATTGTCCTGTAGCACGAGCCTACATCGAGGTCTCATTATCAGGCCATTCTTCACAGTTAGATAACAAGTAGTACAATTTTTTCCACAGAAGTACTTGAGACTTTAAAGTTTCTACATCAAAGCAGAAATTTGGTATTATTTTAAACTTCATACACGCTGGCCATAAGACTCCTTCCTCAATTTTTTACAGTAGTGTACAAAATACAGAGCCTGTATAAGCTAGGAAAATTAGCTGCTAAAGACAGGCACAAGATGACCAGAATCCTCTTGGCACATACTGAGAATGGCTGCTCAGCTGCTTAAACAGGACAGGATTTGGAAGAAATAAAACACCCAGCTGCATACATTTACATTACACTTCAGTGATAGTCTGAAGGCTCTTAAGGTCTTTCAGTACAGGAGTAGGCTCTTACACTGAATGTACAAGTATGTGCTTGAGGCAGACATTAACACTTGCCCACACAGGAAGCAGTAATTCACAGACCAAACGCCAGGAGATGGCGCTGACAGCAGATGCTGAAGACGGCTACACGGGAAGAGAAGCTGTCTTTAGCCAGTTCTTGACATCCCTCTAAGTTCAGTTTCATCTCTTCCCGTTTAAAACATCGAGTGAATTCCTTCTTTAGGGGCACTGGGCACATGAAGTCTCCAAGTTTTCTGTTGGGTACGTATTTCAACTTCCTTCTGCCTCTTTTGCAGGAGCAAGGAGGCATCTCCCTAGTAGAGGGGAAACTGCATGAGAACCTACTTCCACCTGCCCTCACCATCTCCCTTTCCACATCATTCATCTGCTGCATACCTTGGCAGATGGCCTAATATTCTTCCACTTTTCTTCCTGCAGAACCATCTTTCAGGCTACAGCAGCTGCCTAGCACACCAGAAGCAGGAACTGACTGAAGAGAAGGTGCAGTGCAGGTCTGCAACTCAGTGTGATTCTAAGCAAACTGAACATACAGAGTGTTATGCACTTTGGGTGGTTAGATGGCTGACATTTCAGCTGATGCTTCATTTACTTACATGCTGGAAGAGGGACCACGCTTTCCTTCAGTTGAGACAATACTTACTGCATTGCTAATCTATCTTTCTAACTTTGATTTTTTTAAAAAAAAAAAAAAACAGGAAAGAATAAAACTATTGGAAAACAAAACTTTGTTTTTGCTTTTTTTCCTCTTTTTCCACATCATTCAATCTCTCATGAAATCATGGGATGATAGAGGAATATACACTGCTGAATTATTACAATGATTTTACACCATCTCAAAAATGGCAGTACAACAACTGTCCAGATGTCAGGTTTCTCACATTACAGATGACAGACCACTATTGATTCCGATGTTGTGCAAATAACAAACTTCATTCACTTGTCAAATAAAATTTCAAGTTAATCAGCTGCAGATTACATTCTCCTGGTTTTCTTCATTCATTATTCTCAAGAGTGAAAATATCCATTAAAAATAACTGTTTTTATTTTCAGCAAACTACTAAAGCTACCAGAAAGCCAAAACAAACAGGGAAGGGGAGGGGTAAAGTCTACAGTAGTCATTAACATACACTTCCGTGCACTACAGAAAGGTTCTGTTCTACCTTTAGGTTCCATTTTTACCTTAAAAGGAAAGTAGGAGACCACTAGTAAGACAAAGTTGACTAGAGTTCATCCTAATCAAGCACAGTCCACCATATATTTTTATCATTTTAATGAGAAATCATGTGAATTTTTGTAATCAATGAACACGGCAGGAAATACTTTGGTTTTTTGGGTTCTTTTGAGGAGTCAGTAGTGCCATAAAACTCATTGTAGAGAGTTCATCACATCAATTACCAAAGTCTGAACAGAGTTATTTGATTGGCTCAGAGCAGCACTCTGGCTCTGCCCAGCTTCTGAATACACCCATCTACTTCAACATAAAGACTCTTAAAAGATAAATAGTGGGAAATTAAATATGACAACTACGGAATTTAATGGAAATTAAAGTTTTAATTTGGGTATGTGTAGGATCCCTATTATGGAGAAATACCAAACTATCTAGAATCAGTACTTTGAAGCAGAGGGTGCAGAGAGATGATTCAGTCCTTTATAAACTTATCAGAGAAATGCACTAGGGTTTGCACGAGGATCCTTTTGGTTCCTGTATCTATACGTCAGCCAGACTCCCAGAATCTGAAAACAAAACCCAAAGATATTATTAAGCAGAGGGTCTCCGCTCCATTTCCTGTAAGTTTCACAAAATTTATTTTAAACATGAAATCCTGATAACGAATATCCAGCACACAAGTTTAGTATATTTTACTGTTGCTAAAATTGCACAACCACACACCAGCTTTCTTAGAAAATAGGAAGCAACTTCTCAGAAAGAATTTGTACCTAGCAACAGAGAGGAAAAACAAAATGGCAAAATTATGTTCACAATGCAAAGCCAAATATTTTTCATAGGTATGTTTAGTGTTAAACTATTCTTCCCCCTCCCCAAATAAGAAATATTCATAAACCTGGTTTTAGCGTAATGGTAAACAAATCCTCCAAGTTGTTTCATTTTACAGTTACCATTTGACTACAAGGCTGTCTTTTTCTAGTATATTTTCATATCCTGTTGTTCCCCCAAACCACCTTTCCCTCCCCAAAAAAATTCCTAAACCAAAAAAAACCAGACTGTGTGTACACGTGGGAAGAACAGGGGAAGAAAGCAAAGTAATAACACTTTAATTACTTTCAGAGAATGGTAACAATGAATAAGTAACTTCCTGCAAAACAAAGTTCACAGCACCACATTTTAATGTAATATCTAGTTGAGGTTTGTCATCTAAATAACAAGGTTGCAAGAACTCCCAGTGTTGAATAAAGGCAAGCCCTCCTTTTGGCACACTTAAGCAAGTTGATAGCCTGGAAAAATTCAAACCAATTACTTGACTCTTGAGATAGTACTGAGAGTTCCTGTAGTAAAACCTCTAAAATTATTTGCTTCACAGAACAAAGCATTGAAAGGGGGAGAAGGGGAAGCACTCAGGTTTTTACTCTCCTACTCACTCACCTCTGTGAAACTGAAGAAGAGTCCTATGCCTCCAACAAATCTCAGCACCATGCCAGAATATTCTTCTATTATCGGTGCACATGGTTGACACTGGTGACTTTTAAGACAACCCTGCAGCAGAGAGAGAACTGCACTCAATTTTCTGATAACTATTGTTTGGAAACATCCAGTTAGCTTTATAAACAACTGCCAGCCATGGACAAAACTCTAGCACTTTTAAGAGACTCCAAAAAAAAACCCCCAAGTATATAAATGACAATGGAGAATAACCTTTGTGGGGTGCTATGTGATTACACTTCCAGTAAGTTAACTAAAGAGCTTAGTATCATTGTAACAACTACCTTACACATTTCTCAAAAAAACTATGCTTTCTGCATCTACAAAACCAGTTGTACATATGTGAACAAACACAATGAAGTTTAAGATTTTTTATGCTTGAAGAACTTACAGAGGAGCAGGTTTCATTTGGATCAAAAACTCTGTATCCACAACAATTCAGATTTCTCTCAATATCTGCTCTTGCACTGTTAGTGTTATTCCATCCCACCTCCAGAAGTTGACTCTACAAGGCATAAGCAAATACATAGTACGTTAATTGAACTGTTCTGCATTTTATTGGAAACCAACATACTAGGCCAAGTCGGTAATTTCTTAACTAAAACCTTCAGATCCTAAACTCTAACAGACTAAAATATTAAAGAATGACCTGAATGTTCAAACAGTGTGTGTAGCTAATGAAACAGCAGCACCTTCATGGTTGTAGTTTATTTTCTTCCTTTCTTTTTCCTAAAATACATTAAGAGCGACAGTAATGGGCCATGCAACTAATGTAGCTGGGACTGCTCAAACTTCAGTGTGCTTACATGTAGGAAGCTGATTACACAGTAAGAGTTAGTCTCCATGCCCCATGGAAGCTGGTTTTACTTTCACACTTAAGGGTCACCTCTGTTCCTAACACAGTCAGGACCTTTTCAGTTATACAAGAACAATTCAGTGGCTTTATCATCTTTACATTATGATTGTTGCAGATTCCACCAGCTTATCTGGAATTGCTGAACATATGATATAGTCACGATATCATGCTGCTACACTTGTGACCACAAACCTACACAGGAAGCTTAAAAAAAAAAAAAAAAAAAAAAAGGCAGCTGAAAGTAATTTTAGAACCTGGATGTATTTCTTTCTCACTACCACAGTCAAGCACTGCCTAAGGGCTAGTCATTATTTAAAAGAATAATGCTGATTTTCTTGAAATGTGCTCTTCCCCATTTTGAGGAAGACTACATATGCATATATATAAAAATATGTGTATGTGTATGTACTGTATATTTATATAGTTATGCTACAGATTACCTGAGAAGTCAGGAAACTTTTCTTACCTGCTGTTCCTTGTTTAGTGCCAAACATGCACAGGAGACAGAAAACTGGACAATAAAGACTAGCAAAAGAATAATCACGTACTGGAAATAGCAGTTAAGGATATACACTCGAATTAATTTTGCTTTTATAACACATATGCCTAAAGGTACTCCTTATTTCATTGGATAACAGTAAGTCCTTTAAAACAAAATAACTACAGCTGTAAATTCTGACTGGATGTGGAAACGATGATGTAAATAATGTTCCCAGAATCCAATCACCACATATTATCTCTCCTTGGCTACTACTATACATAGCTGGTATTTCTGGGTTAGGTGTTTCTTGCCTAGCAAGACAACATGAGCAGAGAAGTTACTAAAAAGAGCTTTGAGAAAGAAAAATCTACAGACAATTTCTCCGGCTCTAAGGGCTCAGGTAATTCAAAGATACTTCATTTAAAGCTGCAAAGAAAATGCTTTCCAGGGCATTGCATATTCAGAACATTTTTTTTCTGCAATTACATGGTCTTGTAATTAACTACAAATTATAACTTTGGCCTAGACTTATAAAAAAGTGAAAGTTGCTTTTGGAACACAGCCTCACACACTTTTGGACTAATGCACCTGAAAACAGTACAAAAGAAAAACAACCAACGCTGATGCTAAAGATCATGTTCTGAAAGCCATCTACAGAATTTGGCTGCTGTGTTCAGAAGCAGATACTTGTCTCACACAATTAAACTGCTTGCAAAGTGGAGGTCACAATGTAATTATAGACCACAACCAGAAAAATAAGCACTTTATCTGATGAATCTCTTTTTTCATCCAAACATCCATTTTGTTATGCAAGGCAGCGCCACAAACTGCTTACTCAGCGTCAGTAAGCATAAAGGGGCAAAGCACACTGAGAAGGCCTGTGCTCATTTCTAGTCTGGTTTTGCAATTAAAGTCTAGGTATGACAAGAAAGTGTTTCTTGACAGCCTGTATTACCTAGTGTGCTCCCCTGCCAGCTAGAACCAGCTCACTATCTGGAAGTATCACCTTTCTCTGCTGTTAAACATTAATAGTTCACGTACTCTAGCTTGGTGTAGGGTTGAGCACACAGTAAGAGGCACCTGTGACACAGCAATCCACCATTAAAAGCTCACAAAAAATTAAAATTTTAATTTTCAAAAAGAGTAGACGTGAATAACTGTCTTCAGAGGACAAACAAGGGAGAGAAAAAGGAAGATGGAATAAAGTTAAATGGGAAGAAAGTTTAATTTAGACTACACTTGACCAAAATAAAACTGTGAGTTTCTGTTCTGTTTCTGAAGCACCTTCCAAGTTAGCCTCAGGTGACAGAGCAGGTTTTTTTACAGGGCTTGAACCAAGTTGCAATCCATGTAATGCATCAGAAGGATACAAAGAACAGCCATACTTGATGATGTTTCACTGCACCAATCAATCCCACTAAAGCAATAAGGAAGAGGAAGATTCCTACTGCAATTGCCACTCCAACCACTCTGAAACTAGAGATGAGGCCGAAGCCGATTCCCCACGCCGCAATCCCAATCAGCAGCAGGCTTACCAGCTGGAGGGAACAGAAAACAAGAAGTTAGTCTGCATAGTAAAAGAGGCTCAAACTACACACTGCTACATAATTTACATTGAAGTTGGTTTTACAAAGTACAATTTTTCTTTCCGGTGCAAAGAGAAGCACAATCCTATACAAACTAGTCCTCCTCTACTTCATCATAGAGGTAACTTCAATTCCAGATGTTTTAAGGCACACCTATTCTTCAGCGCTGTTATAGTGCAGCTGTTACAACTTAATCTACCTAAAAGTCAAATCATGTCACATTACCTGTGACTGACTAGAGACACTGAAGTATCAATTGTAACAGAATTGACAAATAAGCTAAAAATCATTGGCTTTAATTCACAGCATAGAATAAGAATGAAAATTCTAGCTGTTTTCTGAAACATAGGCAGCGTATTTAAAGAAAGTAGGATATACAGCTCCACAACTCCGACCGTGTGAAAAAAGTGCACTTTGCCAAAACTTACCATAACCAGGAATACAGCTGTATTAATTAGAAGCTCCTACAGAGATGATGATACAACAGGTAACAAGGTCACACAAAAAATACTTTTTAGATCTGCATCTCAAGGACTTCATGTAGTTAAAAAAAAAAAAAAAAAAAGGTGCTCTGCCTCTGCTATGTATCTCTTCAGGAAGAAAACAACTCTACTATGAAATCAGTCTTATGTCAATACCCAAAAACACTCTTACACTGTTTCCCTCATTTTAAAGATGGCATTAAGAGAAGGCAGGCAGAATCTGTTTCAGTTAGTTTACTGGGATTTATTGTTTCTATGGGCAGGAAACTCCAGCCTTTCCTGTTCCCATGCCAAAAACACAGAACAACAAAAAAAATCCACCATGAAAAGCTGCAGAGGACTCTGTAATGAGGTACAGCAGGAGGGAAGCAGCAGACAAAGCCAGCTCAGCTGTCCAATACACAAGATGCCCAATGTTCTCTTGTTTCAGAGAGTTCAACCTACCTGTAACTCACTGCCCATCACGTTCTCTGCTAAGGAACACCAATTCCACATTTTGGGAAGTTTTAACTTCCCAAAACCCTGACCTCACCAAGAAATAACCAGAAGTTGTATCATTATTAAAAAACAAAACAACACCACAACAAACAAACAAAACAAACCCAAACAGGAAGCACTTGGTCTAGTCCAGCTACTTGGCTTTATTTGACAACAAATACAGAACTAGCACTTACACTTGCTCATCAGTTTCCATTCATACAAGACATACTTGGTGACATTTTGCTGCATATCCAGAGGGGTGAAGGGAAAAAACAAAAAATATTTCCAACTTATCTTTTCAGCACACTCACCCTACAGCTGAGCATTTTTGCGGGTTTTAATACCAACTCTGTCTGTATGTCTGAAGACTGACCTATCTAATGCTGCTTTTGAAACATGGAAATCTAAAATAACAGCAAGAAAGCTAGCAAAACAAACAGTGATACTCATCAAGATGGAAACACAGTGGGCATTGTTTTTCACGTTTTCACAAAAGAACATATCTCAAAAAACATTTTTACCAATCCAGAAATTTGAGAGTGAAAGCAGCAGGATATTTATCATACCTATGCATCTCTTACCATATAAAGATTCAAAAGACTGATATAAAATTCAAAGGAGTTGATCAATCCCAGTAGAGTTTTAGGATTAATTCACATTTGTCTTTGTTTCTCTTAAACAGAAAGCCTTAATCATTACATTTATTTAAAACCAAAACATAGGGCCAAGATATGGGTGTAAGTTACAGAGAGGGAAAGAAAAATAAAACAAAAAGCCTTGGCTCTGCCACATACATTTTCTGAGTGCATGCTGCACAAGGCTATAAACTTCCTGAGGTTATCATATTGAGAATTAGCTAATCGGTGAAGTGCAAAATCTACCTGTTGTGATCTATGACCACTCACTTTATTACATTGTCTAGTACCACTGGCAAGATTTATTTTTCCATTTAAGTTTCAAAAGTGGAAAAATAAAAGAAATCACATAAACCAATTTCCAGTCAGAACGTGCTGGCTGATGTCCCATGTTTTGTATCAGCTCCTAAGCACTGAACTCACACTTCTACCACACAGCTCTTCAAAGTGTTACAAAAATTTCTCAAACTCAATGTCAACTTTCAATTTCACAAAGAAAAGCAGAAGAAACATTGCTCCTAGTGATTTTCACCAGTACTTCTTTCTTCTGCCTGAACTATGACTGCAAATCTTTATTTTCACCAGTCTGCCTCCAGGATATCAATATGTGGTTTTGTTCAGCTCTTTGCTCCTTTCATAAGAGGTCTGAAACTACTAGATTAGATGAGCTTTATTCTTAGGGGTATCAAAACAAAAAGAAAAGACCTAAAACTCTGTGCCTAAAACACCTACTGGATAAGCACAGTGTGTGAGCTGCAGGTTACTGATTACTGCTTGCTGCTGTTAGTCACCTCAGCTTACATCATTCTGATAATATGTACATGCTGTTAGTGTATATGGAATTAAGTTATTACCATGTCCCCCTGGACCAAAAAGCTTTTCTGGTAGAAACAGCCACATACTGAATCTGGAGCTGCTATGGTTTTCAAGTGGAAGAAGAGCCCCTCTGCCTTTCAAATCCACCATTGAACCTTAGATGTTCAGGAATCAGGCGATTTGCTTTGAAAAATAAAATAGTTTGTCTTTTGATCACATTCTAGTTTTAAAGCCAGCAGTCTCATTTTGAAGCCTCACCTCCATACTCCCAAGGCTATATTTTCTCTTCTTTCACATGACAAAGTTTGCCAGATGTTTGAAGGACAATGGACATTTGGTATGATTACAGATCCATGCCACTGGGCTCTGGTTCACAAGCTATGTCAAAACGCTGTAACCAGTCAGGCAGACACAGGATTGGGATTGAAGTACCTATCAGCTGCTCCAACTTTGGCCACTTAAAATTGTGGAAAACTGACTCTGGTTTACAAAATTGAAATGGAGACTGTTTACAAACCATTCCAGAAGCAGATTTAGTACTAGGTTCCTGACCCCTCTGCATGTTGACTGAAAGATGAAATTATGGTTATTCCTTTATTTTCAGGTTTGGATTGGACTGAATGTTGAAAAATAAAACTATACATATATATAGATTTATAGTACCATAATGTGAAAAACCGAAGTACACACACAATACTACAAACAGGAAAAATAGCTTAAGATGTTTTGGGAAAAGGTTTTACAAGTCTGTAAAACAATATAAGGGTCATAGCGTTAGGTGCTGTTTAGCCACTAGAAGCGACTACTCAAGTGTGCTTATTCCAGTGGTTTGAAACAAAGAGTTAGACTTAGTATTTCTAAAAGTGAAGCTTCTGAGACTTTGTAGTAAAATGTACTTTAATTAATGACCCTAACTACTTTTAAATGAGTAAAAGGTATTTTCTGAACAGACAAGATTTACCTATTGAAAAAGTCACCTATTTCTGTTAAATAAAGGGAAAAGGACTTTCTACGGCGCTTCTGAATGTCACATTCTACTGAAACTACTTTGGATGACTGAAGTACAGTACTCAACTCCATTCTACCCACACGAGCTTACTAACAAAGCTAGCCTTTGTTACTAACATTTCAAATATTTGCTTGATAAATCTACCAGAAATACATGAAATCAGAGTCTAGTTTGTGCTGATTGAGACTAATCTGGTTTCCCACAGTAATCTCATTAGTAAACTGAGAAGGCATGGGTTGGAGAAATGACCTGTTAGACTGCATGACAACAGCCTGGACTCCTGAGCTTAAAGGGTAGTTAGTAATTGACAACTCAGCACCCAGCCAGGAGCTGATAAGGAGCACCACAAAGGCTGACATGGGCCAACATTATACAGTACCTTCATCAATAACCTGAGTGATAACACAGAATGAATCCTCAGAAAAATTGTGGATGACACTAAACAAGGAAGAGTGATTGACTCTCCAAACTGAGATTCAGCTCAGATGGCTCTTAATAAACTTGAGGAATAAGCCAAGAGGAACCTCATGAAGTGCAAAATCCTGCACCTGGGGTGCTGCAGTGGAGCCTGGGAACAGACCGGTTGAACAACAGCCTTACTGGGAGAGACCTGGAAATCATACTGGCTGCCAAGCTGAATATGAGCCAAGAGCCTGCTCTCACTGCAAACAGGGAAAGCCAAGAGGAGTCCAATCAAAGGAAACTCAATGCTGGTGAGACTGTAGCTCAAATACGGTGTTCTATTTCAAGCCCCCCAGGTTGAAAAGGAATTTGAGAACCCGCAAACAAGTCATCAAAACAGCCTGGAACCTTGAGGATGATGTTTGAGAAGCAGGTGATGAAGCTCAGTTTGTTCAGTTTGACAAAGAGGCAGCCTAGGAATAATCTAATAGCAACTGGATCTGAAGACGCATTAAAAAAAAAACAGGGGCAAACTCTTCTCAGTATTAAGCAACCACAAAACAAGACGCAACAACCACAAGTAACAGACTGGGAGGTTCTGACTGGATGTTAGGAAAAAAAAAAAAATCTGCAAAGTGTTTTGGTGCTGTACTTAGAGAGGTGATAATCTTTGTTGTCCGGTGTTTTCAAGACTCAGTAGACAAAGCCACAGCTAGGGAACATGTTACTTGTGATCCTGCGCTGGGCAAGAGCCTGGACAGATGAGCTCCAGAAGTCCCTTCTGGCCATCACCCACACACACCATAGCCAGCTCTTCCACTACAGAAACTCTGTCATTCTCCAAACCAAAAATCAATTAAGGGACAGATTCAGCCATTACCAAGGACTCTTCTATCTTGGAGCTGTCTAGCTCATTAAATAGAGACTACCATCAGCTCCTAAACCCCCTATCAACAAAACACCTTCTTAGAAGCAATAAGGTCTCTCAAAAACACAAGTCTTGTTCTCAGAAGTGATTTAAGAAGCCCTCTTCACTTCAGGCATGTTTACATAGAAAGCCAACAGGCATTAAGAGCAGAAGAGTTCATCACAATCTCAAGTTAGAGCAATCTGTCTCACAGAAAGATGCTATCAGCACATACTGTTCATAAACCAGAAAAGCAACACAGGGTCATGGGGGTGGGGGGGGGAGGATGACAGCTAGTATTTTAAATGTAATATCCTCATTTACTAAATATCTTCTCCAACAATACAAACTCAAGCAACCTTATGTAAAAAGCACACATGCAAACACAGGCTTAGCATAAGTTACCATATAAACTCATCAATTTGAAATTAGCTAAGTGCTTTTCCCAGAACAAACCTGCAAGTAGCACAAATACTAAGTGAAGGTCAGTAGTTTTCACGATGAGATTAAGTACTTTTTCTATGAAGCACAAAAAAAAAAAAAAAAAAAAAAGAAAATTAAGCATATTGCCAATAGACAAGATATTACTTCAATGTCAGTACCTGTATAAGAAAAATTTTTGGGATTTTTAACTTCAAGATCAGTGGAATAGCTCAGACTCTATTTGCTAACACACATATATACACATACACATTTGAACTTCAGAGATGTTTCAGAAATAGCTTACAGATGAAGAATTTTTTTGTCACAGAGGTGAAGTCATCACAAGTTTCATTGTCCTGTTCTCCATGTAACTTACTAACATGATTAAAGCATTAACCTTTACAGCACTTGTCGGGGTTCTCTTTCTCTTTACTGCTGCATAAATTACTACTTCTACAAAAAAATCCCCCCAAACCCAAAACCAACTCCTAATTTACTCCGTTCTTTAAATCCAAGCACACAGCTGCTCATTTCCCCTCACTCCTGTACTGGAACAATACATTTCTTTTCACATTTACCCCATGTGCACTTATCCACAAGCTTACAGTCTACAGGACAAAAAGAAACCAAGATATGACAAGTTATTTCTCTAAACATTACCCCTGAGAAACAATTCAAATGCCAAAACCAGTTCCTCCTTGCTTCAACAGCAAGATCAGCTGTTCTAACTAGCAACTCTTCAGCATTTCAGCTACCTTGGACTGCTCACCAGGAAGTCAGTCCTATGCAG